ATATATATATATATATATATATATATATATATATATATATATATAAAATTTAAATAGACAACATTTCCTGATTATACTTAATATGCCACAAAATATATACTGATTATGCAAAATATATTTCTTGTTATAGAAAGACATTTAAAATAATTGATGCCAGCTTTCAAGTTTGTAAGTGATGAGACTTTCTTGTGAGAAGTGGAAACTGATAAACATCCAGTTGGAAAGACTGTTGCTCCCTTTTTGCCTAAGACTGTATCTGAATATCTGTGCTCCGCTTCCTGGATTCTAGTTCCTCCTTGAAAATAAAAAGGGGAGCTTAGCAACTAGATATGGGTGAAAAGCACAGATGCTAGAGTGATAAATTTTGCTAAGTATGCACCCTGGGACTTTTTTTCTCTATTTTGAGGGATCTGTTGTAGAGGGGGACCAGAAGGAACGCCAGTCTGTCCTGTTCGTGTAGAAGGAGCTGAATTGCTTTCTCAAGTCCTTAGTAATTCCCTAGGGGCCACTTATAGCTACTCCTATGAGCCCAGTATTAGGAGGAACTCTCATGTGTTCTGGAGACCCGGGTTGTTTCTTAGTCTCTTGGGTAGCCCAAATGGGATTCTCCATCTCTTTTTAGAAGTAGCATTTTTTTAACTTTTTCAAGTTCACTACATACAAAAACATCAATCTACTATCTATCTATCTATAATACACATTTTTAAAAAGGTATATGTGAACAAAAGTAGTAAAACACTTGCAGTGTAATTTGCCTGAGATCACATCAGAGAATTTTCCATACCCGTCTCCTCAGAATAATTGCTTTTTAATCAGAATGATTCATATTAATTTGATATCCTCATTCTTTTCATACTCAGTGTCACCTCCTATGAATCTGCAAGTTCGGGGTGTGTCAGAGAACACCATTGATCTGGAGTGGGAGGGGCCTGTGATCCTGACAGACTATCTCATCACTTACGCCCCCACAACCCCTGGTGGAGTACAACTAGAGATCAGAGTCCCAGGAAATGTTACCAACACCACCCTCAAAGGATTGGAGCCGGGTCTGGAGTACAACATCAATTTGTACGCCGTGATCGACAACATCATCAGTGCCCCAATGAACACCTTAGTCTCCACCTGTGAGTGCACTTCTCTCCTGAGAGCTCTTTTATTCCAAGAACATCTGTGTTTTGGTCAGATAAGGCTATTTTTTTCTATTGAAATGTCTGAGGTGTTTTGCATAGATCTTGAATCTGACATTTTCATTGTAAGTGCATCATTGTTACCCAAGCATGACCCAGGTTTAATAGACCTGGATGAGAGATTACACACTCCTTCACAGTCCCATTTGCACACACACACACACACCTCATGTTAGTTCTTCAGAGGAACAACTGTCTGTCTTTGCCAACAGGATATGATTAGACACCCACCACCTGGTGAGTAGCAGTGCCAGATTGGCAAAATGCTAGAGGGCCTTTCGTATACAGTCACTGCCTGTCAGCCTTGAGCAAAATGCCTCAGCCTAGAATAGAACACATCATAACAAACATTCCATTATTTGTGAAAAGCCAGTTGGGCATTCTACAGACAATCATAAATCACCACTGTCTGGCCTTCTGTTTCTTACATTTTTGCAGGTAATTCAGAGATAATAAAGACAATTGGAGCTTAATGAATTTGAAAGAAATTGCTATTTGCATGTGGCATTTGGCAGGCATCGAGAGCTTGCTTAGACTTCTGAGATATTCAACTAGTGAAGCCATAGTATCTGTAATCTAACAAAGATGAGACTTTTTGAACATTATTGCCCGTTTTCTGCAATTAAAGCATATGCTTGCAATAGCTAAAATCCTGTGCAGTTAGCAACAAGAAAACATATTGCAAGGAAGCAATTAATAGAGAGCGAAAGCAAGGAAGTAAAGAAAGAGAAAAGATATAGATACAGTAAAAATAGTAAGGCTGGGTGGTATGACGGTATATACAGTATATCGTTGACACTGTATAAAGTGTCTATTGTTAAAGATTTTGCCATCGTTTATTTCCTCGGCATGCAAATATATCTGCTTAGCACAGTACTACTTAAAAATGATATACACCTAGAGATATAAAAAATACATGTATGAATGAAAAAATAAAGTGCTAGATGTTAAATAGAGATATTAAGCGCAGTATGCATTGAAGAACTCAATGCAATGACACACTGAAGCGCAAACACAAAAAGCACCTCTTTCAGACAGCATGCAATCGCAAATTCAGATATTTTGTGTCTTATTGTGCTTGAATGGTCAGACACATGCATAATTATATCAAAATGTCCGTCGTGTGGAGTACTCATGTAAACACAGTCGGTTATGTGTTCAATAAACGTAAACAGTTGAAAACTAATTGCTATTTGCATGTGGCATTTGGCAGGCATCGAGAGCTTGCTTAGACTTCTGAGATATTCAACTAGTGAAGCCATAGTATCTGTAATCTAACAAAGATGAGACTTTTTGAACATTATTGCCCGTTTTCTGCAATTAAAGCATATGCTTGCAATAGCTAAAATCCTGTGCAGTTAGCAACAAGAAAACATATTGCAAGGAAGCAATTAATAGAGAGCGAAAGCAAGGAAGTAAAGAAAGAGAAAAGATATAGATACAGTAAAAATAGTAAGGCTGGGTGGTATGACGGTATATACAGTATATCGTTGACACTGTATAAAGTGTCTATTGTTAAAGATTTTGCCATCGTTTATTTCCTCGGCATGCAAATATATCTGCTTAGCACAGTACTACTTAAAAATGATATACACCTAGAGATATAAAAAATACATGTATGAATGAAAAAATAAAGTGCTAGATGTTAAATAGAGATATTAAGCGCAGTATGCATTGAAGAACTCAATGCAATGACACACTGAAGCGCAAACACAAAAAGCACCTCTTTCAGACAGCATGCAATCGCAAATTCAGATATTTTGTGTCTTATTGTGCTTGAATGGTCAGACACATGCATAATTATATCAAAATGTCCGTCGTGTGGAGTACTCATGTAAACACAGTCGGTTATGTGTTCCATAAACGTAAACAGTTGGGTGAAAACCGGTTTCAGTATACTGGATACGTGCAGTCAGTCTTAAAGGGACAGCAGCCTAATTTATCTGCTACTGTCTGTGTCATTAATGTTAATCAAACAACAAAAGACAAAAAGAAAATCATTCACTGCTCTTGACTGAATCACTTTTGGATCTTTAATAAGAATCAATTCATATTTGATTCAAACACTGAAGACTATGCAGTGTTTTAATTTCTGTAGTATTACTACATATAAATTATAGCTGAAAAATGTAAGTTTAATAAATTTTTTGCTCTATTGTGTTTTTAATAAAATAATTAATCTGACTACTGTCAGATTTTATTTAGTAATACTTATTGTATGACAGTACATTATCACTTTCTTAGCAGCCTAATTTATCTGCTACTGTCTGTGTCATTAATGTTAATCAAACAACAAAAGACAAAAAGAAAATCATTCACTGCTCTTGACTGAATCACTTTTGGATCTTTAATAAGAATCAATTCATATTTGATTCAAACACTGAAGACATGCAGTGTTTTAATTTCTGTAGTATTACTACATATAAACTATAGCTGAAAAATGTAAGTTTATTTAATAAATTTTTTGCTCTATTGTGTTTTTAATAAAATAATTAATCTGACTACTGTCAGATTTTATTTAGTAATACTTATTGTATGACAGTACATTATCACTTTCTCACAAACCATTAAATGTCATCATATACATGGAAGTAGCAGAACACTCCCAGCAGAGATAGCGTTTTATTACTGTTTCCATGATATTATTTTCAAATCCTCTGGAGGCTCTTACAATTGTTGACACTGAAAAGGCTGGAGTTTCACTTGTGTGTACTGTGAAATGACTGTAAAGCTATTTCTCGACTTCTATTCTTTGGGTTTCCCGACTGCATCCTTTATACAATAAATGTAAACTATTTAAGAAGCATTGCATGTTTAAAATATCTGGCAAAAATAACATAATCCTGAATATGTCTGCAAAGTGAACCTCTCTGTATCCACTGCTCTCTTTTTACAGAGCTAAAAGCAGAGACTAAAGATCCACCTTGGCTGAGAAAAATGTTGATTTATTGAACACACACAAGACGGAGGCCAATAATGCATCAATCTGTACCTTTTAGATCTCTCGAATCCAGATGGTTTACTCTTCAAATCCATCATGGAGACGTCCGTGGAGGTTCAGTGGCAACCCTTAGACTACTTGTTTGATGGTTGGGAAATAAGCTTCATTCCCAAGGTAAGGCTTTCCTTAGAATGTCACACTTCATTTGATTCTGCCCCTGCTGTAGCTTCTGGCATAACAACACTAAGGTTCTGGAATCTTGTAGCATTTGTGGACTTCAACATCTGCCACATTGTATTTCGACAACAGTAAACAAGAAAACTGCAATGTAAGGTTTTGACAGACATCTGTGCACAGCTGATAAATTAATGCTTTTTGAAGCCAAAGATGATTCGGTTTCTGACAGGTGCCTCTCAGCATGATAAATGTCAATCTGTCCTTGTTTGAAAGAGAATTATTTTGCATCATGGCAGAAACACAATACATCCAGGCAGAGATGTTCTCACTAATCCCCTTTCAAATGTTCCATCTGGAGAAAGGACAAAACATTTTCAGCATGTGCATTCTGCACCCTCACAGGAAGAAGAAAAACGTCCCGCTCCTGCATGCTAACAAAATGTGGAGCTTGTGCTCGGTGCCTCAATAAGAAATAGCTGTGGGAGACATCGCCATATGCAAAACAGCATGTCTCCTGTGCAACATACCTGTCATTTCACATCGAGGTGAAACATCTCTCCCTATGTATAATAACAAATATGCATCAGAGCCCCTGAGGCATTATTTCATTTGGTTGTAGCATTACTATTAAGACCCAGCCATTGAATCTGTAAACAGTGTTTCCCTCCAACAAAAGACATATCAGAGGTATGCTTGTGTGTAATGGAAACCGGTAAAGTGGGGATTATGGTTTACTTAAATGGCTCACACAAAGGATTTCCTTTAGCCAGGAGATGATTTGGCGAATCTATTTGTAGACAGTTTTGAGAGCTCAGTCGTGTAATAGCCACATGTTTTTAGGACCCCTTGAAGAGTGCAGTATTCTGTCCTGTGCTGGGAAGTCTAGGTCTCATGCCACTGTCTTAGCTTTCAGCAAAATCCATAGCTTATGCCCTTGCAAAGTGAGTTCATGAGTTTCATAAATCCCTCATTTTTTTGGACTAAAAGAAGAAAATACATTGGAAACAAAGTCAAAAGCCTCTTTCGAAGGAATAGGAAGTTGAATACAAAGAAGCCGACGGTTGAGGGCGGAATCATGGTGCACTTCAATTTTCCATCGGTGAGAGGGTCTGCTAAGAGTACTGTGCATGAGAGCCAACTCTGGTACACCACTAGGGAAATCATATTAGAAGTGGAAGTCATATCCTCTGTGGATTTAATCATACAAAGCGTAAGAGCCTGATTTTCCACAATATCGTAATGGATGTGAGGGCAGTCAATGGCAAAAAACAAAAGGAAAGAGGCTTTTTAGAACAGTCACATCTTCTGAAACCCTCGCACACTTTGATATTGCTTGATTTCATAAGCGTTCCAGGGGAGGTTAGCTGATGTTTTGTGGGGTGCGATGCATCAAAAACAAGGCTTGATTCAATACATCAAACATCTGGAGAAATGCATCTACACTGAAATTCCAGCAGCTTCTTTGTTTACACAGCCGACTGCCTCCTGAAAACAATCTCTGTTGATTCGAGCAGTATACTGTTTATTCCTGCATGCCTGCCTGCACTCTGATACCAGAATTGTGAAATGTGATATTTTTATATGTGTTTGTGTCTTGTGCACGTCAAAGGACAATGATGGAGGGATGACAGCACAACTACCCAGTACCATCACGTCGTTCCACCAAACAGGGCTGCGGCCTGGGGACGAATACACTGTCAACCTTGTGGCCTTGAAAGACCAAGGAAGGAGCCAGCCTGTTACTGCAACCGTTATCACATGTATGCCTCTCACTCATTTACATTGCATTTGATTTACAGTCTACAATTACAGTCTGCATTTGGCAGACTTTTATTCAAAGCGTTTTACAGTGCAGTCAAGTAATACCCTTAGTGTATGTGTGTTCCCTGGGAATCAAATCCATGACCTTGGCATTGTTAGCACCATGCTCTACCAGCCGATCTATAGGAACACCCACGCCTCGCTGTTTCATTCTCCGATAACTCAATCATGTTTTTCTTGAACTTGCTGTATATATCTTTGATTTTTAATGACCTACATAGAGTGGTTTGTGCGTCCCAATACTTGCATTTTCTCATTACCCCTACAATGTCAGTATATTGCACCTTTAGTCAATAAGATCTGTGTAAGATTCTATAGTGCAACTTAAGCTTTTTGTTCAGTAATTGTTTCTGAGGAGCTTGAAGACCATTTGCAAGGCTCCATGATAAAAAAAACGAATGCATTCTTATAGTAATTAATTATTTAGGAATGAGGTCAAGATCTGTCATGAAATGTACCACCATGTTCCATCATAGCATAAAAAGTAATACTAAACACCTCTTGTCCACTTTACTGATACATTACTGATAAAACTTCCCTTTAATAGTTTTTTTTGCCTATTTGCAAATGCTTCTATTTATTATATTATATCAATTGATAAAAAAAATAACTAATTAATTACACATTTATATGAAATTAATTGTGATTAATCATGATTAATCCCACCTAACATGAAAGTTTTTAAATATACATTTATATTGCAATAATTTCACATTCAGTCTTCAAATTAATGTAGAAACAACATAAAAAAATGTATATTTTTTTATATTTGTTTAGTGGCATCTTTTTTATGTCTGAAGGTGAGTATCACTGATACCAATACTACTGATGTATCTAGGAAATATTTTTTTCCCCCTAATATTTAACCATTGACTATAGCCATTTAACATTACAGTAGCTCCGCCCCTGTGTTAATTGCGTAAAATATTTTTAACACCGTTAAACTGAAAAAATGTATTGCATGTGTTAACATGCTAATTTTGAGAGCATAAAAAAATTTTTTTTATATATATATATATCAGTGGCGTACCGTCCATATAAGCTGTGAATGCTCCTCATACCCAGGCCACAGAAATGTTAAAATTGATAGCTCTCAATTATACTGTAATGTTGAATGGCTATAGTCAGTGGTTAAATATATTATATTATATTATATTATATTATATTATATTATATTATATTATATTATATTATATTATATTATATTATATTATATTATATTATATTATATTATATTATATTATATTATATTATATTATATTATATTATATTATATTATATTATATTATATTATATTATATTATATTATGATGACTTATTTAGTATCAGCCATGACTGAATTAACTATGTTCAAGTTTTGTGATAGTGTGTAGATGCTCTTAGTGTGGAATGGCAGAACAGGATGTTTCATCATTGATGGAGACATAAAAGTTTGCAAGGCAAACAAATGCTCCTTGGGCAGAGTGCAGGGAGATCTAGTTTACCGTTGCTTTCTGTGTGCTGAGAAGATGAAAGCGCAAACAATTTGAAGTGTTTTTCCCTTCAGGTTACTCAGCCAGCTGAGTCACTAGTGTCTCTTTTGTAGATGGAGCTGACAAATTGGAAGTGGCTTGAGCAGTGATTTCCTCCACCCATCTACCATGTCCTGTCGTTTTTCCTCTGTCCTTGGTGCTGAAATCAGTAGTGCAGCAGTGAGGCTGAACAGAGGGCTCACCTTCAAACTATACTACGAACACAGTCATTTTACTGTTAGTCTGCTGACAGTGTGTTGTCTGAACGAAACGCAATTGTAAATGTGTCTTACAAGACATGCAGAAAAACATACAGCCAGGGATATAGTGCACTCTCTAAGGAAGGTATGTAAACAGACCTTTTAAATGACGTATGAGAGGGGCCGGGCTGGGCTGGGCTGGGAAGGCATAAACTGCAAGGAGGTGTCACATTGCTTCAGCTAATGGAAAATGTCACTATGATGAATGGGTGAGTCTGCCAGCAATTATGCACTTAATGTAAACTTCACCCAAGAATTCTTCTTCTGTCACTTACAGACAGGAGGATTAGATTCAATTGAACTTTTCCTGGACAATTGAAATTGCATGTCTGCTGTGAAAACGCCATTAATTTCTACGGGCCTCACTGTCTAGCATAATTAAAGAGGCATTAATTATGCATGCGAGTCCATTAATATTTCACGCGTCCACTGCAGATACCTTATTGGATAAAGAAAGACAAATTTGATGTCACTTAATTATTTATGTGTGCAAAGATTTATCTATCCCCGGAGAAAGCCTGGGAAGACGAGTTTTTGCTAAGCGTGCGCTCGGTACCTCATGAGTTTGCTTCACAGTAATTATGCTCAAGCGCTAAAATACAACATTTTTGGGGAAAAAATAAACAGTAGTCTACTGCCTGGTCTCTAGTGTGCTTAGACTTCCAAATGAGACTGTGCTGGTGTGCCTAGAATAAAACCAAGAAATCACCCTTGTGGATTGAATAGGCTGTGTAGAGAACAGGGTGACATAATTTCCTCATACTTGGGGTTCCTCCTAAACCCTCGTGTTTGATTAACGGGTCACATTATGTAGTTGTAATACTCTAAAAATGGCATCATGTGCAGTATATGTTGTAGGCTCATCTTTTTGAAAGGTAAACGTACGCTTCAGCGCAGTCTCACCTGGTCCAATTAGTAGCGTTTTGCATATCACAGCAGAATGAGGTCAAGGTTGGAGATGAGCTGAACTGTTGAGGTCAAAAGTTCCAGAGATGTACATCTTCCTTCACAATACCTGTTTCTGAGGCAGATGGTCATGTTGCCCTATATAAAAAAGCAGGTTAATTATTCACACAGCCATTATTAAAAGAGCCTTTTGGAGGCTCAGCATGGCCACTTGATTCAGTCACTGGAGTGCGGGTTTGCAGTGGGACTGCCTGCTATCAATATCTGGTGAATATTACTGACACTTTCTCATGCACTGTACTTGAATGCACTGTACTGTCATTTTTGACACTGAATCCTCTAGGACATGTTAGGTCTGTACTGTATCTTAGGGCTATGTTTTCTGTGGAAAAATACACTTCAAGCAAATTCACATATTTGCTAATTTGTATTTTATCTTCATTTGTATTTAATGGAACAAAAAGGGATGTTTTATGTTCATCATTGATCATTTAATCATCCAGACTGTCATTTTGTGTTGTTGTTTTTTTGTTTGTTTGTTTTTTTTAAACTTTTATTTGATGATTTTTGTTAAACTCAAATCATCAAATAAACACCCTTAGGCACAAATTACTCAAAAAAACTAACTTCTTATGCCACTGTTACCATGTTAGAGAAATTTTTATATGATTTGTTTCTATATTATTAACTCCTATATTAAGGGTTTTAAACCTTTACAGAGCCAAGGACCTACACTATTTTTTCACTTTATAGTAACTGCATTTATATTTAGATTATATCATGCTGATCAGATTTTTAAAAATTTGTTTAAAATGTCAGAATTTAAAAGAAAATTCAGTATGTTTTCTATATTTTCTCCAAGCACCTGGAGTGCTTTTATGGATACCCAGGGTCCTCAGACTCATGGTTGAAAACCCTTCTAGCATATTGAGAAGCTGACTTTTCTTATATCAGTGATAATGTCTTGTGTTTTTTTCCATCAGTGATCGATGGGCCAACACAGCTTACTGTACGAGATGTCTCAGACACGGTTGCCTTTGTGGAGTGGAACCCACCCAAGGCTAAAGTGGACCAGATTGTATTGCGGTATGGGCTGGTAGGGGTGGATGGACCAAAGACCACCTTTCGCCTCCAGTCTACTCTGAGCCAGTACTCCCTCCAAGTCCTGAGGCCTGGATCCACATATGAAGTATCAGTCAGTGGAGTCCGGAATGGCACTGAGAGTGGAGCCATTTCCACAGAGTTTACCACAGGTGAAAGAAAGCAGTTCTGACTGTGTACATTATTTTTCACTATTTACTTTTGATTTTAGTTTTCACATTCTTTATTTTAGCTATACTAACATCTTTATTTCAAGTGGAGTAGGTCTGCTTCATTTACATAAACATTTATATTTGATTCCAGAAATGCAACTTGATAATCCAGCTTTCTGTGATCCATTTAAGTGACTAGTACATTATCGAATGTGTCTTTTTTTTTTCTTCTTTTTTTAGAAATCGATGCACCAAAGAACCTGAGAGTGCTGTCGAAAACTTCCACTAGCCTGGAGCTGGAATGGGACAATAGTGAGGCAGATGTAGAAGGCTACAGGGTGGTTTACAGCACACTGGCTGGTGATCAGTATGACAAAGTCATTGTCCCACTCAATGATGGCGCCACCACCAAAACTATTCTCACTGGTAAACTCAAACCCAACTTCTCCTTTATTTCATAGTACTGAAATATTCTAGACAATTTCTATACAATATGCAATATCTGACAAAACCCAATTTCAGATATTATGATATATAAGATATAGAACCAATACTTGGTAAAAAAAAATGTTTTATTCATAATAAAATAGTTTCTTTTAAATTCCATTTAAAATTCTTAACATTTTCAATAAAATTCAAATTTAAAATTAAAAATGCTTTAAAATTGTTTTATGTAAACAACAGTTGCTTCAAATTGAAAGATTAAAATGCTTTAAAATGTTTCTATTTATAATAAAACAGCATACCATCACACATTCACATGAATCCTAACATTTTAAATATATAAATATATAATGTGTTTATATTGCTTTGTCACTATAATGGTTTGAGATCTTCATTTATTTGTATTGCTTTATCACTACGAGTTGAGGTCAATGTTAAGTACATTATAAAGGCATTTATTTTCTCCAAGATTTGTGATTTGTATGCGTAATCTTTTTGGTATTCTTAGGTATTCACACATAAAGTTTGTATATGCACTTTTTACTTTATGGCCAACTTTAAGACCCTGAATCCTCAGTCTAGGTTCACTGTCGACAACTACTCTTTCAAATTTGCAGGCATACAGACTTTTGTTCATTATTTAACAGCTTTTACGCACGTAAGCAACATTTCTGATTGTATTGAAGTCTCAGTGTCTCATTGTTTTTCATCTCATTATGAACTAATTGTGAGGGCCCACACATCTATATTTACCAAAAATGCATACTTATTTAGTGACAGCAAAATGTATTGCTTATGTGCATAACGTATTGCTCAATTTTAAAGTCACTGTCTATCTTTTACTAATTTTCTTTCTCTCCTTTTTAGATTTACTGCCTGGCACAGAGTATGGCATAGGAATTTCAGCAGTTCTAGGTGCCAACCAAAGCACCCCAGCTACGATGAATGCCAGAACTGGTAAGGGATAAGATTATAGGCCTGCCGTTGCCAGATCACCGTGAAATAAATGTATTTTCAATTGCATGGAGTTTGTATTCCTGCTGCCGACTTGTGCAAATCTGTTTTTGCCAGCAGAACTGATATATGATGTTTGCAATGGAATAAAAACATGCTGAAGGTTTACTGAACCATACACCTTATTATTCCCATTACAAACCTTGAAACAGCCACAGTTTACTCTGATCTTTAGGTCTGGATGTCCCCTTGGATTTGGCTGTCACAGCCTCCACAGATAACACCATCACCCTGTTGTGGGGCACAGTGCAGGGGCCTATTGATCACTATAGGGTGACCTACACTTCCTCCACTGGAGCCACAACTGAGCTGTCGGTGCCCAAGGATGTCACCACCACCACACTGACAGGTCTAGAGCCAGGCACTGAGTACACCATTACAGTTGCAGCACAGAGAGGCAGGCAGAAGAGCACTGCAGCCACTATTGATGCCTTTACAGGTAATTTGATCTTTTGGGAAATCAAGTACAGGAATCACTGTTGAGTATCCAAAGCATTGCCTCATCTCCGCCTCGTGACATGTCATGTCAGTTTTGGCCAGAAATATCATTAATCTCTCCAATAATTGCATGAGGATTCAGAATGGTGTGGATGTAATGGTTCCTGTAGCTTTTTTCCCAGCAGGGTCATTTGTAGCCACTTTTAATCATTTTTCATCAAAATCCAGCCGTCCATCTGTCATTTACTTCAGGGGTTCCCAACATTTTTTTTTCATCACAGTGAATGTATTTAATAATTTTAAAAAATCTTCCTTGTGCATTTTTACAACATTTTGTCTTTATAACTCGCATTATATCTCTATTATAGCATTATCCACTTTACTGCATTAATTTTCCATACTTTCTACCTAGTGATAAGATCATGTAACTGATTGATAGTCCTAAAAAATGTATGGAATTAAAATGATCAAATAGAACATTTTTATAAGGATGCCAATCAATTGCATATAATGACATAATAAATTGCAGATAGTATAACAATGCTTCCTAAAAAAAATTAAGAAAAATCAGAAGACATTATTGTGGCAGATGAGTAAATTATTGTACAGACAAAACTTTTTTTTTTCGTATCATTGAACATAAGTCACAATCTGCAACCATAATCCATTTTGTAGCAAATTTTTGCCAACACAACTTTTTATAGGATTTACATAGGGGTTAGGTCATGATTAATTCTGTATTTTTTTATTCAATTTTTTATTCCATTATTTTTATATATATATATAATTAATACATTAAATTAACAGCTATAATTTTATTGAATTTAAATTTAAATTAACACTTCTTCCACAAACTTTCTAGAACCCCTTGCAGTTATGGGCCCCTGGGGGTTTGAGAATGCTCCACTACATTATTTAATTATTCAATTTATTTATTTATTTTTTACATCTATCAAAGTAATAACGCTTCAGACTTGAACTTCCTTATGCATTCCGTGTTGGTTTTTATCACTCACTTGCTTTGGCATGGCACATCAACACATTTATTTCTACAGTATCAAGATTTTATCATATTTCATCATCATTTTTCACTTTTTTTTATTAATTGGCTTGATATCTACTGACTGGCTGCATCTCTTCTGCAAACTTCATCCAATCATCTCATTATTCTTCATTTTCTGTGAGGATGTGCCAATCAACTAAAAGATCTTTAATCACAGGAGCCAGCATTTCGTAAAATATAGTTGTTGTCATTCAATTTCAGGGTTCCGCCCTATCACACAGCTCTTCTTCTCTGATGTCACTTCTGATTCATTGACTGTGGCATGGAGTGCACCGGCACCGCCTGCTGATGCATTCATCTTGAACTACAATGCTCAGGACTCCAGTGATGATTCTGAGATTGCTCTAGACGGGTCCAAAACCAGAATCACCCTCACTGGTCTCCTGCCCTCCAGGCGGTACACTGTTACCTTGGTTACCATGCATGGCAATGTGACCTCAAAGCCAGTTATTGGCTCAGTCACAACAGGTATTAATACTAATGAATATTATGTCCAAGGATATTATGTCTGAAGTTGTTAAGTGTGCTTATTTAATGTTTGAAAATAGGGGTTTCTCAGGGTTGATTTTACATATTTTTCCCCCAAACTAAGGCCAGTGCACTCAAAAACAATTAACACTTTTCCTAAACAGACTGTACATTTTTCTTGATCTCATGCAAATTGCATGTATCATTTTCATGATTCATTTCAGTTTGCTTTCAAAAACAGTTCGCATGGAGAAACTAAAGTAATGCTATATTCATGACGTGCTGTCAAATAGCATCATATTAATACCTGCTGGGTTTGTAATGCACACAGCACTGGAAGTGCAATTTATGAAATTGCTCACACAACTATCATGACTTTGCTATTTATATAGAGACATCTGTGATGATGGACTATCTAGTCTCCATTCGCCTATTCTCCATTTCTGAATCCACTTGTTGAGATCTCTTTCAAGATATGAAATGTGTTCAACCGCAGCCTTATGACAAAGTAACTTTTCTCCTAGCACTAAAAGAGACCTGCAGAGCTATTTGTGCCATTCATTGATTCAGCATTCACACTGTTCTTTCCTTAAGTCCACCACCTTGGATATTGTTTGATGTGAATAAAATTCAATGGCTTAAAAGAAATGAGAGGCTTAATAAATATGCAAATTTATAGAAATTCCAAGAAGAATAATGATCTTCATTGAAAATAAAAATTATAGTTCACACTGAAGTGCTGAAAATAATGCAAATATTACTGAAAATTAACCGTTTTACCAAATTAAGAGTCTGAGTGGTTGTGTTAATGAAGTCTTTTGAGAGCATTGGCTTTAGTTTGGGAAATCGATTAAGGAAATCATAAAACAAGTTAACGTGCATTTTTCCTAGGGTACACTTTAAAGGACTAGTTTATTCAAAAATGACAATCATTTACTCTCCCTCAAGTTGTTCCAAACCTGTATAAAAGTAAGATATTTTGAAGAATGTTGGTAGCCAAACTGTTTACGGTAGCCATTGACTTCCATATGGAAAAAGCACTATGGAAGTCAATGGCTAACGTTAACAGAAGTGGAGGGTGATTAAATAATGACAGAACTCTAATTTTTGTTCCTTAAAGGTTTTTGCGTTTGTGTCAGTCATTTAAAAGTAATTTGTGACCGTGCTCAAAACAGGATCTCAAAACAGGATTTTCTCATTATGATTCCTGCACACAGCTGCACAGCAGATTTTTCACCCTTTTGTGTCTTAATTAATTCAACGATATGTAATCCTCCCCTAATAATTACCTCTCTCTGAATGTGGAGGTGTCAAGGATATGACTGTGCAGTACGTCACAGAGGAATCTGTAACCATTTCATGGATTCAACCATACGCACCCTTTGATTACTACAAAATGTCTTACCAATCACCAAAAGGTACTTTCTCTGCCTTATATTTAAATTATGTCTGATTTGAACAAATTAGAAAAATAAGTCAGCATTACTATTTGTCATCACAGGTAGGATGGACAATGTGGTGACTGACAATGACATCACCAACTACACCCTAACCAGCCTCCATCCAGCAACGGAGTACGAGATCAAGCTGAACGCAGTGAGAGGAAGCCAAGAGAGCAAGGTCATCACCACTACTGTCTTTACAGGTATTTCTGTTCTCTTCTGTTACTAATCATATACTACTGCACATCCTGCAGACTGGTATTCTAATTTACCCTAGGAAATGTCTTTTGGTATTTTGTGAAGGATGTGCTCTCATATAGCCTCGTTCGTCACAGAACTTTGATTTGATAGAAATATGGATGACAGTCTGAGGAATGATGCACATCATTTACCATGTGATGAGTACCATCTCTCACCCTGTGCGTTCCGCCCGTCCTCTGGGAGGCTGCCAGCCATCTCGCCGAAGTGAAATGAAATTTTACTAATGGAATCAGCGATCAGCAGAGATGCTCACCTGCCATCTTATTTGAACAGCACCACACGGCGGCGACAGGCAGCTAGTACTATGGATTGTGTCTCATTCACTAATTGTGGGCAAGTGTTCATACTTACATGCACAGACAAGAAAATGTGTGCTCACAGAAAATGTCCATCAGATGCACAAAATGTTGTGCATAAAGTTTCTACCCTGTTGATTAATGCTGTTTATTATTCTAATGAGGTTTATTCTAAGTAGTGTACAAGTTTTAATGTATTTTAGTGTACTCGAGTGTAAAATATATATATATATTTTTTTTATTTTATTTTTATTTTTTTGTGAATAATATGTAGAATGTTTTTATCTGTAAAATATATTTTAGTATATGTAATTATAATCATCTATATTATGTTATATATCTACATATAAAATTAGTTGAATATTAATAATTATCAATGCATTTAATTTTTTTGAATTAATAATATATTAAATGTTTATTATTATTATTATTATTAAAAATAAATATGATAAAATACATAAAATACAAATAAAACAATATTTAATATTTAAAAATATCACACAAATAAGCACACATGCAGTTAGTGAATGAGACCCAGTATTACTAAAGCCAAGTGAACCTGTTCTCAGTGTATTGCTTTAATGTTAAAAGCTTGTCTTCAGAATAGAATAGTGCTTTAGATTTAATATAGGAATATTTAACTTGCGTCTCAATAGACAAATTTTACAGAACAGTGTTTGTTCCAGCTGTGCATTATATCACTGAAATAAATTAGTCTATCTCGAGCCTAGGAAGTGAACTAATTAGTCATATAATTTGATGTAGTACAATGAAACAAAACAGATGCTGGCCTTTGCTTAAACAATGCTGACTCACTTAACTAGGTAGGAAGTGTTTGCCTATACATCAAAACAGAGCTACACTCCCCATCGCAGCTTAAAGCCTGACAGTTTTGTTCAAAGCTAATCAAAATATGACAAGCAAACAATCTCAAGCTGCCCGTGTTGACAGAAATCTTGCCAATGCTGTAACAATGCAAAGTGACAAGTGGCTCTTTTTAAAGGGGTCCTGTTACGCTTTTTCACTTTTTCAAGTTAGTCTGTAATGTTGCTGTTTGAGCATAAAAAAAGATCTGCAAAGTTACAAAGCTCAAAGTCCACTTCAAAAGGAGATATTTTATTTATTTTTCAAAAACTACAACAAATGACTCGTTTGGACTACAACGCATATTTTGATATCACAAATACCGACGAATGGGACGAGACCTGGTTGAGCTGCACTAGAGAAGGCAACGAGTGTTATCACTATGTCGCAGACACGCTAGCTTTCCCAAGGCAGACGGACTTAGAGTCGTTACAATCATACGGGTTTAAATCGCGCTCAAATTGATTTGATTTTGACACAATATTTACACTGAAGCTCGCAGGTGGCTATGGTAAGGGGCATGACATTTCCCGACCAGGCGCCGAGTGCTGCCAATCACAGCACACACTGGCCCAGCTAACCAATCACAGCACATTTCGTATTTCAGAAGGCGGGCCTTCATTCGATACAGGAACTATTCGAGCCGTTCATGCCAGACTTGGGAGAGAGGTGTTGTAATAATGTAAAATATGTGAAAAATCATGTGTTTTTCGAACAACCTAGTATGAGAGCCTGTTCTAGTACACGCCCAAAACAAAATCAAGACTTTGTAAAAGATCATAATAGGACCCCTTTAAAATGCATCTTTTGGAAACAGATTATTATTAATAGGATATAAAAAAACATTGTGGCTTATTTCAGCTGTTATGTAAAGGGTGACAATAGGGTTGATGAAACATGATGGATCTGGTTCAACGCTGTGTTCTGGTTCACAGCTCTGCCTAATGACCTGCTGAGGATCATCAAGTTCACATTCACTGCATAAGGGAAAACTGATATTCTCCTCCTAGTCTGTCACCGTAGGGCATGTCAAGACTTGGTAAAGCAGAGAGAGGGGAAGGTGCAATGGGGAATTGGGGGATTTTGCCTCTGAACTGCTGTCAGGCAGCGGAGATCAGCTTTTCTGGAAGGTTGTGAGAGGGCCTACAATTTCTTGCAACAAAGTCATTGGTGCCTAATGGGAGGGTCAGCTCTCTACATCTGTAGACGTAATATGGCTATTGCCAGTGAGGCTGGGAGAACAAAAATGTGTGTGGTAGATCAGAATAGGAAGATGGTAATGTGCGATTACAGTCCACTGACCTCATCTAAGAGGACATACACTATAGTGCAAAAAGGAGAGTGAGATTTTTCCTGTCTGAGATAAGGAAGGTCATCTGTGAAAGTCACAGCATGGATAGAGGATTACGGAGAACAACATTTCTCATTACTCACTTGCATAGAAATGCTGTTGAGAACAGTGGAGGAAAGAGTACTGAAAAAATATACTCAAGTAAAAGTACCATTACCTTCCAAAAAATGTAGTGTGAGTAGAGTAAAAGTACTTGTCCAAAAAACTACTTGAGTAAGAGTAAAAGAGTAGCCTATTTAAAAGTACTCATGAGTATTGAGTAGTGAGTACTGAGCTGTGGATTCTACCCCCTCATAATAAACGCTGTACACCGCAATTTACACATTTTAAAAACGTTGTACATTCTGTAATTCACATAATCTTGTTTGTCATAAAGAATGCAGAATATCTATCATCCAGCAGTTTTAATTTTGACTGCCAACTCTTTAAAATACATCAAAACATCACGGAAACAGTATTCAGTTGAAGAAAAGATGAAAGTTATTCTCAGTACAATCATCCCCATTTAAATCATAAAGTCTGAAAAAATAGATTTAAAATCATGTGTAAGGCCACTGAGACAGCATGCTGTTGTTGCACATAAAATATTAATATTTAGAACAGTGCAAATACAAACACCATTAGAAACTCTTAGTTCAGCATTACACACCATGATATGGGTTAAAATGAGAGCCCATTTCTCTCCAAAACGGTGCCAGTTTTTGCGTTTTGCAATAAAGAAATAAGAATAACTAAACTTGATAATTTGTTACAATTTTAACATAAATGCACATTGTTCTAAAAGGATGGCATCATGCCATACCTCTTACACATTTACTCGAATTGTTATGCTGATAATGATAATACAATTTGTAAGGAAAACTGCATTAAATAGCTAAGTATTTCTGGGGAAATTTTTTCAAAGGAAAACACACACACCCACGCATGCCTCTTTGCTGAGCCGCGGCGGTCTCGGTGAATCAGCAGCATCCACAAGTGAATGGAACAAAAAGTGTTGAACTTGAAAATTGTTTATGCGCGAGTGCACTTGCTAAATGAAGGTGGATTGTACAAAATGGATAAAAAAAAATTAAATAATAACATTTAAAAAAAACCTTACGTGAGGGAGAGACGAGGCAGCGCAGATCGCGCGTCTCATTAGTGAGTGAGAATTTGCCGAACGTGGCACTTGCGGGAGTTGTATGCAATACCTGCAACCTCACTCCAAATTTCAGGCCATTTAGATAGGCAAGCATACAAATCATTTAGTAAGCAGAAATCCAAAATTTACCTTAACATATTAAGTTAGAGGAAGATGCAACTGAATTGATGCTTGAAGAATGCACTTCCAGCAGCCATGATAAACAGTTGGCGGTTAAAGTTTTCTATGCACAATTTGATTTGAGGAAAATCACGAGACCTATTACTATCTCTCTATCCAATCACGTTGATGGATACAAATACAATTAAAATAAGCATGTAACGACCACAAATGGAGGAAAATAGCGGAGTAAAAGTAAAAGTACACAATTTTTAAACTACTCAAAAAAGTACAATTACTGATTAAAAACTACTTAATTACTGTAACGTGAGTATTTGTAATTCGTTACTTCACACCCCTGGTTGAGAATGAGCTCTGCACACATTTGACTGTCTAATTTCTCCCTCGATGTCGGCTAATTAAGGAAATTGTGATCTTCTCCAGCCAGATAATCACAATAAATTAGTTCCAAGCTGCTGAGGTGCTCTATTTTTAAATTGCCGGTGAATATCGTTTGCAGAGGGAAAAAAAGGTGAAGATGAGACTGCTGCCAATTACCTTGGCTGAGCTTATCTCAGACTGTCTTTCTGTAACTTGCACGCAATCCTCTGTTCCACACAGCTATGGACATGCCTATGGACCTCACGGCATTGAATGTTACACCTCAGGGGGCTCTGCTACGTTGGAACCCCCCTGTTTCCAGTGTTGATAACTACGTGCTCACCCTCACCCGTAACCAAGGTATGTGGAGACCTGAGGAAGGGAAACAATCCTGTCAATTTTTTATCAGCATCATTTCTCTTTAACAAATGCAGTAGCCATAAGTACCAAATGAAATGTAACTATTCTTTTTCACTGGACAAAGATATGCTGCTTATGCTGCAATTTCAGGTCTGAGTGCAGCAGGAAAAAAGCAAAACAGATATGCAAATAGGTCTCAATAATGGCAATAATAAAATACAATTAACCATATTATCATGCATAGTTGGAATAGCTAAATTAATTGGCTTATCGCCTTTTAAAAAGGCTGAAGAGAATGCTTTTTGTGTAATTTGTTTTTTGACATCAAAGATACACATCCAGTCAAACTTTTGCAGTGAATGCATCTGTAACTTGGTAGATGCTAGCCAAAGTAGGTAGATGCCAACAGTAACCAGATTCTTGGCATCCTCACATATCATTAGCAAATATGTGCAAGATAGAAATAAATGAATAAATAAACAAATAAAAATACAACCCACACTAGTTACTACAATGAGGATAAATATGCATTTGTTGATTTTTTTTGAGAGTGTCCAAAAAGTACATTTAAGGGTCGTTCACACAAAGAATGATATGTATAAATATGACTATAACAATAACTATCAGCGTCCACACCAACAGACAATGTTCTGTTTATTATAAGCATATGCATAGTTATGTCATCTGCCGCTTTAAACAAGGATGGATTATGTTTGGCTGTCAATGTATTTATTGTTCATCAGCTGGGAAAAAAAATGTTTGTTGTAGTGTGGACATCACCAATCTCACATAATTAGAATGATTATTAAAACTTTATAGTTACAGCTATCATTATACTTGTCACCTTTGGTGTGAACATCCCTTTAGAAACCAAAATTGTCATTTGTGGTAATAGTTGTTTATTTTGGTGGTCCAATGCAGTTCACAGTAATAGGGTGTAAGGGAAACAGGTACATTTAGCTTTAAGGGAATTAATTATGATTTTTATAGGGAATTTTGACAGAATCACTGTTTTACTGCTGATCAACTGAATCGGCCAGTGAATTAACTGAAAGTTTGTGTCATATTTCACTGTTTTAATTAATTTTGAGGAACACTGATTTGGTAAATGCATGTTCACATTTAGTCTAGAACTGCAGTAACCATCATGTTTACACAGCGCACACAACGCCTCTGCACTTACTTCCTATTTCTCTCAACATGGGAACAGGAGAGCTGTCAGTCAATAAATGGGAAACAAATTAGATTTTCATTTATAATGCATTTTTCTCCTTATTATTTAAATGCAAATTTAAAATAAATAGGTTTATACGTTTTTGCATACAAACTGGCAGTTCTTCACTTGTTTTTGCACTAATGGATGTTATCTTTCCAGTTATGGCAGACACCTTCTTAGTGGAGGGTAACAAGCAGGAGTACCAGCTGAGTCAGCTCATCCCCAGCACCACCTACTCAGTGGCTCTTTATGCCACTAAAGGTCCTCTCACCAGTGGCACTGTCATCGCCAACTTTGTCACACGTAAGTGCTCCATCTCTGTTCCCTGTGTTCTAATTACAGGGGGGCTCGAGGAGGTCAAGACCCCCTAGTTCCAGTTATATTCCCCTTGTTATCTCAAAACAGGCCTAATGGCCTTTACCCCAGTTGCTGAGGAAGGTAAGAGTTCAGGTAAAGAAGTACAGGAGGATCCCAGAACAGAGTCCAAACAAAAGAGAAAGAGTACCCTCTTTTACCACTGCATTAGCCATGTGACTAAACCAAACCTGAGACATTCAAAGTGATACATTAGATAAATATAGCACTGGGGGTCAAGACAAGAACGTTTTAAAAGGTTGGAGTGTTCTGCTGTTTTTGTTGTACTTTCACTATGAATGACTTTTCACTATGTTTTTATTTGTGTATACACAAACTTTTTTTCTGAAAGAAAATCATACTTTTATTCAGCATGGACACCTTAAAAGTTATCAAAAGTAACAGCAAATAAATTTATAATGTCACAAATTATTTATATTTTTTAAATAAATACTGTTTATTTCTGTTTTAAAATTAATGCTGTTCATCAAATCCTGAAAAAAAATGCATCAGTTTCTGCAAAGATACCATGCAGTACTGTTTTTAACATTGACAATAATAGGGAATGTTTATTGAAGTCAACATGAAGAATGAAGAATGATTTCTGAAGGATCATGTGACACTGAAGACTGGAGTAATGGCTGCTGAAAATGCAGCTTTGGCATCACATGAATAAATTATATTTTAAAATATATAAAATAAATGCAGCTATGGTGAGCATTACAGAAAAACATAGTTTAAAAAAAATCCCCCAACCCCAAATGGTAATGTAGCTGAAAGTGCTATGCATTGACTGGCAGAGGTAACTAGTTTACTACTAGTTTAGTAGCCAAAACCATTCAAGGAACAGATTAACTGTAGCACTAATATAGAGGAATATTTATTTACTTTACATCACTGTCAATGAACCCAGAAGCTTAAAGGGGTCATATGATGCTGCTAAAAAGAACAGTATTTGGTGTAATGAAATGTGTTTATGCGGTTTAAAGTTTAAATAAAACATTATTTTCCACATACTGTACATTATTGTTTCTCCTCTATGCCCCGCCTTTTTGAAATGTGTTGATTTTTACAAAGCTCATCGGTCTGAAAAGCGAGGTGTGCTGTGATTGGCCAGCTATCCAGTGCGCTGTGATTGGCCGAATACCTCATGCGTGAGACGGAAATGTTACACCCCTCACATACTGTGATGTCGTGTCCGGCCGGAGCGACGAGACAAAAACATTAAAACCCATTACAAACGAGGCATTTGTTGCATCCAGTGGGGACAGAATTACTGATTATAATGACTTATACTGTCTTTTT